TGTATCAGCTTCTGATTTCAGGATTGATGTGCAGCTTTAGGTTTTAGCAGTATCCCAGGGGATATTACGATTTCCCTCTGAATGGGTGCTAAGTAACACTACTGTACAAAATGGATTTTGAGTAGGGGTGAAAATACTGCATTTACCTTAAGATGGGAGAATCACAGTGCTGTTGGGACCAAAAAAAACTTACTGTTTTGAAAATACAACCTTTGGCGTGCCTTACATGTAATTGTGTGTCACCTGTACATTGTGAGCAACTTACTACATTAGTGGAATCAGGGCATGACAAACACAAGACCTTAGTGAAAGAACACTTATTTTACTGAAACACAAGAAAAAGAGGGAACGTGGGGTGGGGTCAGTAGAGTGATGTGCTCCCTACTGCCCGCATGTAGGTGGCACTGAGGGCGTTCATACATTGCCCCTCGCTGTCAGCATGTAATGTTTAGTCCTAGAAAGAGCTCATCAGAGTGGGAGTATGATGCCCCTCAGTGTGTAACTGCATGTTAACAGAGTTTCAGCATTTTGCCACCATTGCAGCAACCTTTTTTCTTGTTTCATTATTGTACATGCTTCAAGTATGGTCTGAACAACTTACCCATCAATTGAACACACTACTGAATTAACATTTTGCATGAGGGTAAGCTTTGAACTAGGAACTGAATGTAGCTTAGTAAGGAGAAAATAATTGTTAGTATACATATGGAACACCCCCTGTTGAATTAGTGTTGAATATCTAATGCTACTGAGGTTGCCTGGAAAAACCTGTAATTTCTTGTGGATCTAGTAATGTAAATCATGGCCTCTAAATGTCTGTAGTTTTGCATATTTGTAGCTGGAGGTATTTTAAAGGTCAATCCTACATGTAAAATAAACCACTGTATAAAAAACACATAGTGTAGCCAGAGAGAGAAAAAACACTGTGTTTTGTTGTTCAGCCAGTAAAATTTGTAATAAAATCAGGAAAAGTATTTATAAATATCATTAACTCAAGAACTGACCTACTTTCATATATCTTTCCTTATATGTCCTTCAAATTAATGATCTAGAAGGGATTTATATTTATCAGTCCTATAGTAACACAAGATAACCACGGGTGAAGTGATGCTGGAGACTTAAGTTAGCACCATACAAGAGTGTGCAGCAGCCTTGCGAATTTTCATGGTCTGACTTTTACTGGGTTTGTGTGTGGTTTATTATTTTGTGGGAATCAGATCACTCTGGTGGTAATTCCAGCATGTTCTGGTCTCAGTAATGGTACCAAGTCTTAGTGAGTGCTCGGAGTGAAGGTAATGTCAGGGACCTTCCGCTTCCAGAAGTGGAAGGATGCTGTTCGCTGCCACTCCTGGTTTTCAGTTTTCTGTCGCTGCTTTAAAAACCAGAGCACAGAAATTTGCCACATGATGACACCAAAAAAAGAAAGAAACAATAATTCCTGGGACAGCTGCATGGCAGGCCACAGTGCTGCTGGCAGCAGCACGCGTCAGCTGCACAGTGATGTGCAAATGGTAAGAGGTTGGGCAGATGATGAGAGCGTCAGTGGCTCTTACAGGGTACTAATACACTGACCCTGCAGTAGTATCCCGAACCTTTTTAGTCTTCATTTCATATTTGTGACTCACATTCGACCACACCACATCCTTTCCTGCTTTTTGTTTATTTAAATAATCTGTATATAGAGTTTTCCAGGTTTCTTTGTACTCCATAAATGTATAGAAACTTCTCATGGCAAGGCACCTGACCCTTTATTTTCCCTTCATTTTTCCCACAGAGGATAAGTACGGCGAGTGGAGACGGCCGGCATTACTGCTACCCCCACTTTACATGTGCAGTGGACACAGAAAATATCCGCAGGGTGTTCAACGACTGTCGAGACATCATTCAAAGGATGCATCTCCGCCAGTACGAACTCTTGTGAGGGGGCTCACCGTGGAACCTGTGGTTTTAAATTCTTTGCTCCTTACTCTTGATACTACCCCACACAGGGTGGAGGAATATACTATAGAAATGTCAGTCTCTTCACTTTGTTTACTTTAATTATTTAACCTTAAAGCTGATTTGAAGCAAGTTTGGGTTGGTTTTCCTTCATGCTTTTGGGGACTATTTTTGTGCTTTATTTTGACATGCCACTTCTTCGTCATTCCACTAAGCCCTTCGGCTACCTCTGTTCCCGTAGGTTTTGTGTTTTTAACTGAATGTGACCTGCTAAATTTTTTCCAGCAGGTTATCATCAGTGCAAACTGGTATGTCAGCTGGATGACACTAAAGTCATAGCTTATCCCTCTGTGTGGGTTTCCTTTTTAACGTGACATTGAAGAGTACTTGATGGGTGAAAAAAAAGATTAATGCACTTTGTATCAGGTTATTAAATACTGTTGAGGAAGTAGACACACAATGTAGCAGCACCACAATATTTATTACTCTGTCACAGTTTTTAGCATTTCTGAGTTGCAGGTCAACTGATAAAGTGACCTCCTCTTTTAAGCCGTTACTGGCGCAGGAAGTAGAGTAGATAATGAGAGGAAAAGTGAAGACAAAGCAATTTTTCTGGGGTTTTGGAGCGAAGTGTCTCTGCACACCTCAGGCATTTGAATTACAGCTACTTTTCAGCCTGTTGCATCTAGGCAGAAACTTTACCACCCTCACTTATGTTATTTGTGCTGTCCACAAATGATCCTTTTAGTTCAGATCATTCTTGGACAACAGTCCTCTCCCTATATATATTTTTTTGTTTTACTGCTGGTTTATTATATTGTACAGACTGTAAAATGTAATATTATTTTGTACAACTTTATTGAAGAAAAATACTTGTAGAAGATCTTTGTGCCTTGATTATGGCTGTACCTGTAAAATGAGCTAAGATGTAAGTATGTTTTTGATTGCGCTGTACAGCTTGATGTCAACCTTACCTGCAGCAGTGACTGGAGGTAAGAACTTTATCTGTAGAGTTTAGGGGTTTTTTTCTGGTTTATATAAAAATGCTCTTTAGTATAAAAATTATAAATTATGCAAATTAACCACTTACCTTTCCAAGTAAGGTATTACAGTCACCGGATGTTGCAGCAAACATGCCTTTCTCTTTTGAAGTCTCAGCTTTAAAACATTGGAATTCATTCGAGTGTCCAAATTGCAACCTGGTGTTGTTTTAATGGGAACTAAGGATTTCTGTTTCTTCTTTTTTCCTTTCGATTTAGAAAATATGTTTGGTAATTCTTCGGTCATTCATAGAACTTCACAATTGCACAGACCGATTGTGAATGTGTAAAGCACCATTATATAGAGCTCTTCAATCTTTGTACCAACAGCAGCTTTCATTGTGCAAGTAAATAGCAAGAAAGAAGAAAAAAAAAACCCTAAAAACAGGTGTATAAACCCTTGTGTCTGGCCTAAGAGAATTACAAGATGACATTTTTATTTCTCTTTTAATAAAGAGACACATTAGAAAAGTGTTTTATTTTAAATATTGTAGAATCAAAATGTGTGACTATTTCTCAAACTTGAATAATTTATGCAAATGACATTCTCAAAACAAGTTGTGGTACAGTACAATATATAAAAGCAAGAATTGCTGTAGCAATAAGGCATGTCCTTTTTAGTAACTATAACACTGCTTTATATTTTATACATAGGTGTTTTATGTCTGTGACTATATACTTTTCCTGTGTCCAAGATAACCTGTACAAATGTCTAAAATTACAGTTGCAATAACAGAAACCTAGAGAAGTGTTAGACTACATTACTTTACAGAATGTTTTACCACACTTCGGACCATTCCCCTACTTTGTTTTAAATTTAGGGAGAGATTATGAGCTAACAACAAACACATGCCCCACATTGGCATATAAATCAGCAGGTTTGATTAACTTCTTAGTATAAGCATTGCTATTAGTTATAAACCCCAATCAGTCACCTTTTCAAATACAGAGTACAAGTGAATTGAGAACTTGTTTCTATTGGATGCTAAACAATCCCATTTTAGATACTATGACCATTTCCTCTTCCCAGAAATGTCTATACTTTGATATCTGTCCACTCAATTTAGTCATCAGATAATTTCCAGAAAGCAACAGGCTGGGTGGAATAAACTAATAACAAATAAAATTCCCAAAAGCAAAGATTTTCTCACTTCCCATGCCAAAGAAAGTAATAGAGTGACTAACAAAAACTAGTCTTGTCTTTAGAACAGGCCCTGATCCAGGAGTTCAGGTCAGAGCTCCCAGCCTCTGCAGGAATGCCAGCAGGAACACTGGTCCTGGTGTGAAACAGTCCCTCTGGTTCTTCTAGGGCGGGTGGGGAGAAGCAGTAGGTCTGTCACATCTTCCCTCCCACCCAGCACGTGAAGATGCTGACCTCGGCCTCCCCGCAGAGGGGCTAGTGCAGTTCAAATTGTGACTCTAAAGTGAAAAGAACTTGGCAGCCCAGCAGGAATCCAAAATACGGTGCATTCCTATCCCTGTTTGTCCACAGACTGAGGGCCAAGGCATAGGATAATGTTACTGCAGCTGTATTTGACCTTCCTTCTTGCAGAAGATCGGCAACAGGAGGGCCCCTCACCACACAAATCTCTGGGATGCAATAGGGCCCTCTTTTTTTAAGCTCATCATAGCACATCTTTTTAAAAAGAGCAGCTTGAGGTGTCACCCTATTTTTTTTTTAAGCAGGTTTCAAGTGTATCAGCAAACTGGATCCATGAGCTTCTTCCTGTTGTTGTCTGGTAGACGATAACTGCAAATTGTAGTCAGCTAACAACTTAATGTATCGGGAACTGGAAGATTTCTTGTCCCAAACCCCAGTCCCTTACATACAACATCCTAAAAAGGTTACGGAGATCCACATCTCTCCACGCTGATGTATCTAGTTTCTGCCTGACCCTAACAAACAGGAGTATGACATTAGAAGGGCCATGCAGCAATAAAACAGAGAAACATTTCCAGTTTGCAGGACTGAGCCTCCACCAGGGTAAGACACTAGTGCAGACAAGTGATGAGGCTATTGGATTTACATAATGTACAGTTACACTTTTAATATACATATTTGATACAAAAATTATAGCAGGAAAAGGACTCATTTGATTGTCGAATACAGTATTTTTGTACAGCATGAAACGCTCATTTCAGTTAATTATTTATCCTGTAGTAGTCATATCAGCTGTATAGGACTTCTATGGTATGTGTAAATGCAACCTGCCTTCAGACTAGCAATCAAATTAGGTCATTTGCTGGCATGAATATAGTCTGATGTTTGACTGTTCTCAGCTTTGGTATTTCAGTGACTGAATGCAGATGTCTGGCTCTTCATACTGCTTTATGCTTACTGATTAAACGCTGAGCAAAATAAAATGGTGGAGTGAGAAGCTGAAAATGAGCTAGTATCAGGATTACAAGCAGAGCACCTGCTGCACAGTATATAGTAAAGACTCTGCTCTCATATGGAAGGAAGCATTTTTGGAGGGAGAAGTCTGTCGGTGTTATGCTGCCCTGGAAAAGAAATGAAGACTGTCACTTTGCTGTTACAGTGGTTCTGAAACAGGAGTAAACACCACGACTGTCAGCTCTCCAATTTCTAAATTCTGTGTTGGGTGGTAAGGGTTGGGGCCAGTTTCCTAGTACCAGTGCCTTCTCCAGGGGGCTGAAGAGTCCGTACCTTGTGGTGCTGGGCACTACCTGGAATAGTCACCAGGCCAACATTAGCCCAGGGGCCAATCTTCCCTCTATTCCATCTAGCGTAAACAGAGAGCTGGGCTCCTCATCTGATCTGCCTTCAAGAGAAGCCTAACTTTAGCTGCTGTAAATGCACCTGGAAGGAGCCTTCCCAGGCTGAAGTTAGGTTTTGTGAATGTGCCCCTTCCTCCCTCCAGACCCTCCTCCTACCCAGTACATGCTGCAAAAACCACGTTGGCTAACCCAAATTATGAACGCGAACGTCAACGACAAAGAACTCCATCGGGTTTTGGCTTGACTTTGCAGTTCAAATTAAAGTTTACAACGGAGTGAGACCGAGTGAAAAGAGTAGTGAAGATGATGCAACTTTAATTAGCCAACCTCTTGTTTTGCAGTGAAGATGCGCTGTCTGGTGTGTGCAGAGAGCATGTGTAGTTTTGAAGGCAGCTACTCTCAGGAATATGGAATTAACAGAACTACTTTCAACAAGAAGTATTAACAGTTGCATAAAATGAATTTAAAAGTTTGGGGTTATCTGTGTATCAAGCAGCCTAAACTCAACAGCAGTAGAAAAAACATACATGAAAGATTTCCTCCCCCGAGTCACAGACTACGCTGTAAGCAGATGGTAGGTTTTGCTTCTTACTCCAAGTTTCTAGGAGTTCTGTTTTGTTTTTGAACTGGGGAACTAATTGATTTACCTCTTAAGGATATACAGAGCACTGGAACTGCCTGTGAGAGCATAACCAACAACACTGTATAAAATGTGAATTTGAAAGGAGGAGGCAGACTATTGGCATGTGACAAACGTTTTCACCCTGTGAAGCGGTTTAATGCACAAGTTTGGAAACCGCCGTCACCGCGAGAGAGAGTTTGAGGTGGAGATGGTCTTGTTTTCATAGTTGGTAAACCAACCAAGCCAAACTAGTCTTTCTACTGTTCCGTGCACAATACTGAATATTTTTACAAGTCAATAGTTTACAATGCACCCTCTTTATAAGAAAATGCTAGATGCTTGTACCCAGATACTAATTAGATCTTTAAGGGCACTGCTTTGTACCACACAGAAGATGTGGCTCCCAGAGATGGACTTTCTGAGGTGGATGCAGTGTACGGAGTGGGTTGGGTGGGTAGGCAGTTTTTTATTTTTTGTTTTTCCAGGTAGGATCAGTTCAATTCCAGCTGACTGCCATGTTGATTTATTTATGGAAGTTATCTGACAAAAATAAAAACAACTTCAAACTTACCATGATGAAACTAGGGTTGTTTCTATTCCTCCAACTGAATGATGGGACGCTGACTTCTGGGATTTTCCCTGCGTGCAGCACTTCACAAGCACTGTGTGTATGGCCACTGAGAATCAAACGGGGGTGAAACCACCATATCAGCTAGAACACAAAAGGGTAAAGCACAAGAATTAAGTCATTAAAAAAAAAAAAAGAGTAAAATGAGCTTAAAGGCTTTTTTGTTCCTTCTAACAGACTGAAATTATGGCGATGCTAATATTCTTCCAAGGTGTTCTGTGTAAACTTTTGATTTCCAGTAACGTGTGTGTTGATACTGTAATATTAATCATACCCATTGCCCCCCCATTCCAAATACTGGACATTCTGGGGCCCTCATTACGAGAGAGTCATTGAGGTACTGGAGCAGGCCCAGAGAAGGGCAACAAAGCTGGTGAAGGGCCTGGAGCACAAGTACTATGAGGAAGTACTGAGGGAACTGGGGTTGTCTAGTCTGGAGAAGGTTGGGGGGGGGACCTTATCACTTTTTACACCTGAAAGGAGCAAGGAGGTGGTTTGGTCTCTTCTCCCAAGCAACACTTGACAGGGTAAGAAGTAAAGGCCTCAAGCTGCACCAGGGGAGGTTTTTAGATTGGGTATTAGGAAAAATTTCTTCAATGAATCAGGCATTGGAACAGGCTGCCCAAGGCAGTGGTGGAATCACCGTCCCTGGAAGTGTTCACAAACTCTATAGATGAGGCCATCAACAATCTACACGGTACATAAACACAAAATGCTAAACTGGAGGGGACAGTACTGCAGCAGGCTTACTCGAGCACTGGGACTTATGGCCTGCACCTGGGAAACCCAGCAGAATCAAGGCCATGATCCTCAGGGGAGCAATTCTAACAGGCACCCTCTCAAAAGCCTCATTAGAGCAGGAGCAGCTGTGGTCTCTTTTGTCTCAGCTAGCACCCTTTCCAAAATGCTTTAATCTATAGATACCTACACTTGTGTCCCCCACCCACTGATACTCAGGTTTCCAATAAATCAAACCTTTTGTGATGCTTCCTGAGACAGGACATCATACTTCTCTTTAAATGGGATGTTCTTCTCCTCTGGAGAAGCAGAATCTTCTCCAGTGCATTCAGCATCACTTTTCCGATAGAGAGGGTAATGCTGGGAGAAATTCAAAGCAAGGATCAGTTGTTAATGAGCCAGCCTTTCTGGAACACTAATAAATATGCTAAAACCATGTCAAACTGTTGCCTCACCCCACTTCTAACACACCTGTAGAAGGATGGGTTCTGAAGCTGGAAGCTTTTCCACATCACTGCATCTTTTGTTGGAATTACTCGGTTTCTGTGAATCAAATAAATCCATATATATTGTCTTCACCTATGTGTACCATAGGAGCAAGGAGGGGAATTAAACAACAGCTACATTTGGGGAGGTGGGGTGTGTTACAAAAAGCAGTATCAGCTCACAATACAGTGTTTAAACACTGTCTGCTGTACAAAGTTTTAAGAACCTCTGCTATAGATAGAAAGGGAAATGCTTTAATTCCCCTTTCTGTATATGCTGTAAATACGGCTGCAGTCTTCCTGAATGCAGGAAGCAACAGCAGAATCTCACTGCACAAACAAAAGCAAACAAAATTTAGGGCAGCCCAAGAGACAGCAGTTAAGAGCCTGGCAATTTTTCCACTGGGAGCTGGTTTCCTGATTGACTGCCAGTGCAGTCAGTCATGCTGCCTACTGTGCATCCAGTCAGCCTATGAAAAAGGGAGGAGGAGTGAAATACAAACAGCAATTGGAATTGATGAAAAAAATACTACAATTAAAATATTACCAGGAGATCAAGGCAGAACTCCAGCTGAATCAGAAAAGCAAAAAAAAAATAGGCTAGCTTGAAAGATACGAAACGGAGCAACGTTCATAAATATAAATGCAGGGATTGGTACGTATTGTAAGTCAAAGGGAGGGTTACAGAACTTCTGCCATTCCTTGGAACAAAGGAAATGACACCCTCTGTTGGGAGCACTGACAAGGAAGTTAATAGCATTAAAGCAAAGCAACACAGTTAGTTAATAGGTAAAAATGTTAAGAGGCAAATGAGGAGAAGATTGGTAGCAAGCTGCAATGTGAATATTAATTTTTCAGGAGAGTCTTAGTTACACGCTGACTGTTGCTGCAGTATCAGTATTCCCACTGCAGCAGCCAAGCTGCTGGCTATAACTGGATCTTTAATAAACCCTTACCTGCTGGGAGCAATTCAGTTTGTGAGAAAGCGCCACAAGCTTTGCCTCTGTGGTACGGCAGAGAGTACAGCCATCGCCCTCCATGGCTACGCTGTTCACCAGGACAAAGCTGGAAAATACCAGGGAGTGGGCAAAGGGAAGCAGGGAAGACAGGAAAGCATTTGCTATTCATGCACATGTGTGGGATAAACTTCATAAAATGCAAGTATTCCAAAGTCAGGCACAGCTCAACAGAACAGCTTCTGGGACCACATACTGTAAATCCTCCTTTGAGTGTCCATATTGTAGCTGGTTTTCTACCTGGTAGGCTGCTTTATGAAGAGTTGTTTATCAGGTTGCACAACATACTATATGCTAGGCTTCCTGTTTACATCTCAAGATCTTTCTTATATTATAACAAATACTTAAGTGGCATTCTAGTGGAACGTTAGAAGCCACTAAGCTGAATTCTGAAGGAACAGAGAACTTGCTTCTCTCCCCACACTCATTTTAGACTTCAGAGACGTAATTTTCAACATTCAGTTTCTTCAGAACAACTGAAAAGCAAAACAACACTGCATGTGGCTGGCTCCCCTGAACAAATTTAGTTTCACACTTTGTGGTGTCTCACACAGAAACAGGATTTTATTTGTAATCAATTTACATTTCTAATCGATTTAGAACTTGTGCCACAAGATTCATACCTGTTTCATCACTCAGGACCCGAGCTAAATTCCCACTTCAGTATGTTTTATTGACATAAAGGAATTGAATGCTTCCACTTAAAGAGATGCTGGTCAAAACTAAAAAGAAGTCAATTCTTTTTTAGCAAATTTTGTACCACAAGTTTGTTGTAAAATAGTTTATCTAGGAATATTTCATTAATAACGCAGCTCATCTGTTAATGAACATGATACCAGACATACAGTCAGCAACTGCATGCAAGAATTCTCCTGCGCTGTTTTATCAGAGGGGACATGAAGATATTCCTTCATATATATTATTTAAAACAGCTGAAATGCATCTCCAGGGAACCCTGCACCATCTGCATGATAAACAACAGCATTACACTGAGCAGTCACAAAGCTGTTCCTAAAATGCCACACCCTTTCTAGACCTGTTCAGAATATTCTTAATGCTTGCTTAATTAGGGGAACCTGTGCAAACCTGTAGGTCTTGAATCCTACATTTACATGAGTCATTATAACCTGATGGCACACCTGCCAAATGAAGGGAAGACCTGTTGCCACTCTGCATGTATCTGAGGTTTAAAGACAAATACCTTTCCACAAACCCACTACAGCTTTCCCTTATCGAGTTCCTGCCTCCCATCTACAGCCAACTAGAGGGGCAGAGGGCAGGCACTGTAGCCACAGAGACGTAACTACGCTCTGTAGCACAGTGTACCCTACGTTAAAACCAGCTTGTGCGCTATTACCCCACCCTGTGGAGAAACTGTGCACAACCAACTATGTTCCCAAATTACTCAGTTAAATTCTGCAGACTTGTAAGTACAGAGGGGATTTGTTTGTGTTTCTTTACTGAATCCTATTCTTCTGTTTACAGCCATGGGTCATTACCAGCTGCAAGGAAGTAAAAAGGTAAAACAGCAAATTTGATCTGGACTCCACAGCAGTTTTTCCATGGAAAACGGTTTGTTCCAAGTTACCCTGCTCAAAGTACAGCTTCCACTCCATATCGAAGTGTACGTTTGTACAAAGTGTTTCATGTTTAACATATCATGAGCTAGATACAAAGTTAAAATAAAGGCTCTAAGTTAAGCATCCTCATACTATTTCTTTAGAAATTGCACTTCCAGTTGTCATCACCCTGGTCTGCTAGCTCACAAATCACGACTCTAAACATTAAAATAAATAAGCAAATATACTCACTTTATTCCTTTTCGAGTTATTAGCTTTCCTGAAGTAAAGTTGAAAACCTTTCCAAACCGGTTTACCTTGTAAGTTGTCATTCTGTGTCACAGAACAAAAATGCAACTGAAGTGAGAAACTGGCATTGTAAATCATCTGACACAGTTGCTTTAGAGTTTGTACACCACTTGTGCAGCTTGCTGCTCCATCACCTAGATCACATTCATTTGCTTATAACTCACAGGGATGCTCCAACACCAGTCCCACCAGTGTAAGTACAGCAACGGTACAGAAGTACAGCAGAGCCAAGCAGGGCATTTACATTCTTCTGTGTCGAGCTATCAGGAAAGGGAATATGCTCAAACTAAGCACTTCTCTGACAAGGAGGCCCAACACAAGGAAAAACAGCTTCCAAGCTTCTCTGCCAGTGCAGAAAGACCAGCTCAGAAAACTTCACATATGCTCAGAGAAGCTTAAAAGTAGCTTGAAACCTGTTCTGAAATTTATTCCTAGGGTGTATGAGCACAGATGGATACCTTTTAAGGTCTTGCTCTAAATCACAAAACCTTCTAATTTGGTTATGATCAAAACCACTCCATCTAACCACACAAGAGGTTACTCAGACACAAAACCTGTTACTGTACACATGTTGACATTTCATTCTTGGCACTTGCATACTCCTTTCACTGACAAGACTTACTCGTAATGGAATCCAATGTCATGATTCCCAGCAACCACCACCAGCTCAGTAGAAGCTGGGAACTTAAACATTTTCTGAAATCTCCTGACATCATCTGCCCATGCCTGCATGAAAAAACAAATGGAGAAATTAATGCTGTGCAACAGTTCCAAAGGGGACCACTAATACTGCATTGGGTTTGTGTGGCAAGGTTTTGGTAGCAGAAGAGCTGCAGGGGTGGCTTCTGTGGGAAGATGCCAGAAGCTTCCCCTGTGTCAAACTGAGCCAATGCCAGCCGGCTCCAAGACAGACCTGCCACTGGCCACAGCTGAGCCCATCAGCAACGTGTACCACCTCTGGGATAACAGATTTAAGAAGGGAGGAAAATAGCCCTGGCAACAGCAATTGCAGCTGTGTGAATATGCAAGAGGAACAGCCCTGCAGACACCAAGGTCAGTGCAGGAGGGGAGAAGGTGTTCCTGGACTTTCTTTGTGTCTCTCACTACCCTACTCTGATTTGATTGGTAATAAATTAATTTCCCCAAGCCCATGACAGCGATTGGTGAATAGTCTCTCCATGTCCTTATCTAGACCCTTTTTGTTGTATTTTGTCTCCCCCATCCAGATGCGTATAGGAAGTGATAGAGTGGTGGGCACTTGGCATCCAGCCACTCAGCCCAACACAGGTATGTAGCATAGATGCGCACACAGAGACGTTTACACTTTGCAAGTTTCCTGAGGGGAAAATGTGTCAAGACACTACCAAGAACAAAGGAAGAATCACAACATTTCCACTTCTGACTAAAACACCAGAAACGTCTTCTACCAGTAGGACAATTGTAGTAATACTAACCAAAGCCTTGCATACCTACTCTGCTTTCTTGTGTCATCCATTTCCTTCAAGAAATCCTCATTTTTTGAAACAGGAGAGCTGTTGATGTCATACCTGAGGTAAGCTCCATTTTCCTTCATCAAAGACATCTCCCAGAATAAAAACAATATCTGGCTGCAGTAACCATAAGGCAGTTTGGAAAGACCTCTCCATTTGCCATTCCCTGAAAGGAAAATGCAGACCCAGACATCACCACTGGATCCTCTACTCTGAACACACAAAAACAGCCTGGCAGGAATGGGAAGATGGCTCCTCCACACTGAGAGTGCTAATATGAAATTCAAGTTACATACTTAGAAATGAGGTTTAAGTACAGTCAGTGACTTTTACCTGGTGGGTATTTCTGCCACAATACAACAGGCCCACCTCATGCAAGAAGTAAGACCAGCTTGTTTATTTTTCATTACAATTCCATAAGCAGCAATTAATCAGAACAGTGAGTTATTGCTCATGGTTAACCATGCCATCGTTTCTGCAGCAAAAGTTTATAATGTTTACCTTGTACTATAAACTTAGTATTTTCTGTCAGTATTCTGCTTTTTCTTTTTTGGACTAACAGAAACATGGGTTTGTAGGCATAGGATTAGATTATCCTTGGTTTTAAATGGCATTGTTGCCTCCGATTCTTCTGCTACAAACTTCTACCAGCTTCCTTACCTCTGCAATTAAAGGTATTAACAATTAGGATATCCAAGTTATCTTGGATGCCTCATTTTTAAGTCATTTTATCAGTGACATACTGGAAAAGACTTCCTGACCCATCAAAAATCCTCTGGCATCTACACCCACATACTACCTGAACATTCAAGACTCCTCTGCCTCAGTAAGCCCCATTTATTAACCTTTCTGATACTGGTTTATTACCCAGCAGCACAGATCCAAATGGGCAAGTCAGAGGCAGCATTCACACTTCTTACAAACACCACATCAGTTTAAACATCTGTTCCATTAGCTACTATTAAAAACTCTGAAACCAGGAGACTGTTAAAGAAAAAAAATAATTACCTTCTTAGTTTATCCAGCCAATGTCCTTTGATTTCACCAAGTAGGTGAGTATCAGCTAGAATTATGGCCTTTAGGACTGAAGTTGAAGTCTCTTTTTTACTCGTATGAGCTCCACTTTTCACTTCTGGCCACTGGCATTGAAAAATTACCACGTAATAAATTAAAAATTCACAGAATATGAACACTGAGCTGACATAGCACACGAGTTTCAGCAGGAAACAGAGCCTCTTCTTTAAAAGAAGATTCTTCGCAGTGGTTGAGCTAGAACTCAGCATTGCAGTACTGGCATAAGACTTTCCCAATGGTTCAGTTCTCCTCTCAGGTGAAAATGTTAGGGGTTAGTCAAAGGATCATGTTGGGCTTCACATCAGCACAGAATCTCTGTAGATAAAATCAAAATAAAGTATTCATTAAGCCAGCATTCCCTGTGAAAAGCTGCCATGTAAGGCCTACAGTGTTAGATTTGGAAATGCTAAATTAACCTAAAAAGCAAAGTTGGTCTTCTCCTTCAAGTACACAAATGGCCACACCACTGAGCACAGAACTGTACTCTCTCCTTCCAAGACCAAGGCAACCAGTTGTGGGCCCGCCTGGATCTTGGTGCATGATGCTTTTTTTTAAACTAGAGAGTGAAAACACTGTAACTAGGGGTCACAGGCAGGTAAAGACAGATCTTAGCTTGAGCAGCAGAACATGAGGATGCATACCAGCCTGGCAATGCCATGTACAGCCACTTTCTGGCACAAACCACGTAACATGACTACATCAAATCAATGCAATCGTCACCTTTAATGCAGCTCGTTGTAATAACCTCAAAGAACCAAAAGCAATTTACTATCATACAAGTTTACCAGAGCTTTTCAGGAATCCATGCATGGATACCTGACCAGTTAACTAATGCTGCCTCATTTCTGACAAGGGAAAAACAATATCTAAGCCTCAGAAACAGAAACTGTATAGCTGAAGAGAAATATGGGGAAAATAAGCTGAAGTTGGTAAGCTTGCTGTGTTTACTGATTTCTTCCACCTTGGACAGTTCATAACCCAAACAAGGAACTTGGCTTTTGAAACTACAATATTATTTTCTGTCATTTTAAAGGCTAATCCAAAACATATCTCTTCACTCTGATAAGCCACAATTGTAACGGGGCTCGTTGATTGCTTCTCTTGTTTACAGGCATTAAACAGAAACTCATTATTTCTGGTGTAGGGAGGAAATACCCACACTTGCACAGTTCTGTTTCTTCTACAGTCCTTGGCAGAAGCACACTTTCACAGTGTAAGTGGCAACAAGAAAAACAAGTATCACACCCAAGTGGACCAAGATACTAGCTCTTTACTTTCAAGTAATATTACTCAGGTTCAACACACACCCTCTCAGGGCTCCAAAGAACCACTTTTTAAAGGTAAACTGTAGCATGGTCATGGTAAAGAAGACTCCAGGGGAGCTATAAAGATGTTACTTCACATGCACATGAACCAGCTTCTGGAGAAATCCACAAAGAAAAGTCTTGTCCCCCGCCCAAGAATGGGACTGCAATTCTGCTTTCTACGACAGAGAAATTCTGACATAGGACTGATATCCACGATGTTAGCAGTTACTGAACACAGCACTAAAACAGTGATTAGCAGCCAATTTTCATCTGAACTAATTCTGATTAGAACTGTGAATACTCAGTACCTTTGATCATTTAGACCCTAAGTGTTAGTAATACTAGGACGAAATTACTGAACAACACAGAATCATAGATCTTTTCTAAAATCCTGGTCTCAGTTACATGCAAAACACAGACAAAACTTAAACTGCTTTCCTGTCCTATGCCCTAGCCCGTTTGACTGATGTCCCATGGAAATCAAAAACAGGCATGTGATTATTATCTTATTTTTCCAACCAAGATATCTATTTGATAAATAGCCCCTTATTTTCAAACATGAGCGTCCCATATCACCGCTACAAAGTACTTATTCGAGACAAAGAACCATTAGTCTGCATCATGTAACATTTCTAGTATGCATTATTTAGCATTAGCATGACTAATACTTAATTGCATGCAATTCAGTTCTAGCTAAACTTTGTTTAGCAGGAGAAAGCCACTGGCCAGACGTCACAATTTCACAACACAGAAGAACTACACATAAAGGCTGATTAACTTGTTTAATATTAATCTCATCTGCACTTTAACTGGCAATAAAAAGGAACAAGATCTCATTTGTACATCTCACAAGGCGAGATTAAAGCAGAAACATCCGTTCAACAGAGACAGCAACAAGGACAAAGAGACATGTAAATTCCTAACTAAGCACACAAATTCCTATGGCCTTATCCTGCACAAACAGCACCTACCCCAGAATTTAGAAGTAGACTTTGGTAGTCCTAGCCTGTCTACTCTTCCAACAAAAACAGGACTAATTTGAACAGCAAATGACAGTAATTTTTTTAACTTGGATTAGGCATGTATAAAAAAAACAAAACTCTAAAACCAAAAAACCCTATGATTCTTCTGATTCCCAACCTACACAAAACTTAACACAAATAAAACCTGCCATTCTGATATCAGCATCTATGCATTCTCTAAAAGCTTTTCACTACATTTTTCACACATCAAATTTCTTCAGAAGCTGCTCAAACACCCAGAGGCAGCAAAACCCAGCGCTACAGATCAGTGGGGAGGAAAAAAAACCAAACAAAACAGATCTTCAGAAACAAAATGACTCCATCAAATGCAAAAAACCAAACCCGAAAACTGAAATTAATAGAAAATAAAAATATCTTCAAGGCAAAATTGTCATTTTCAGAAGTCACAAACAGCAACTGACACAATCAAAAGCATAGAGCCAGTCATTTCTACACACATTCCCTGTCCCAGCCTTTCTGCTACATAGCTGTTACTATTTTGGGAGTTGTGCCACAGATGTGGAAGATGCCAGAGGTCTCCCATCTGCACCCCATGTTTACAGCTTTCCTGATGGTGAAAGAAAAAAGAGGAAAGAGATAAAAAATGAAAATGAAACCAAAGGAAGTCAGTGATGCAGAATGAGCTGAAAGACATTTACTTCTGGATGACAGAAGTCCCTGCCTACCTCTCTCTGCCACCTGCCAGCCCGGCGCCACTCGCATCCCAGCTGACCCCTTTTCTCGCGATTATGGCTGTACATCACCATAACAGTAGTTTAAACAGAAACCAAGCACATGCAGTAGTAACCCAAACCTTCCATATGGATACCCAAAGACCAGAGACTCACACCCTCTCATGCGTCATGGCAAGGTCAGAAACAATGCTGTCAGACTGCATGCACACTGCAAGATGGAGCTGTGGTTCAGCATGTCACTGCACAACACATTGCTACTCCTCCTGCTTTCACAGGTTGATTACTAAGGTTAGACTAGAACCTGGTTTCTTACTAGAGCTTGAGGATCTCACTTATGAGAAGAGATTGAAAGACTTTTCACTGCTTCTTGTTCTAAATACATGGCACTGGCCTGACTCAAAGCTGATTTTTAGAAGTTTTAAAAGCTCATCACAAAGCTGAGATCAATATCTTCAACATATTACACTTTAAATTGTTTGGGCAGAGAAAATACTCTAATGGCAAACAGTGAAAGTCACTGTGCTAGTCACAACAATTTGTATTCAGTCAGTACATACATTCTTTAGGCAGGGGAGAAATAACCTTCAGCTCTTCCTCACCTATATTTAAAGATCAGCCTGTGGTCAATTACTGATTCATTTAATAATGTCACCAAAGTTTAAGCATAGTAGAAGTATAAATTTATATACCACAGAACTGTGGGGAAAAAATACTCAAGTGACTAGTGCTCAAAGTAAAAAGGTTTGGTACTTTTCTCCTCCATCATTTATGTTTATTTTGCTTACTATCAAATATTAGATACATTTTTGCATTTAAAAATACTTCCATCATACACACTGCTCTGTTGATTCTCATCTGCCGAGTTTACTGGCAACAAAGACTTGCATCGCTCCTCTTTCCCTTTCCCATCTCTGTTCAGAACATTATCCAGTTTTAATTTACAAGTGAGCCAAGAACAAACCAAGGGAAAACTGACAAAATGGTCTATACCCAGACCAGGAAACAAGTACATCTGGAGCTTTACCCTCATTTTTACTTAGGGAATATGCAACTTTAGACACCTCATGTTTTGAGGCCCATTTACTCATTAACTTGCAACTACATAAAACTGTCCTAACAGAGTGGGATACAAGAATCCTAATCCTACTCCTAGTTCTAGTCCTATCTGTAATGAGCATGCAAGTATTTTTAGTAAGCTAAAGAAGCTGTACTGGGTTATAAGCAAGCTTAGTATTTTTAAACTCACAATAAAGTTTTCCCTCAATTCTCCCATCAGAATGTCACAAAGGTACAGGCAAATATAGCTCTATAATGGAACTATGTTAAACTTTTGCAAAATGCAGTAACAAACAAGTTAGGTTCACATCTCACAAGGTTTCCCTTCTGCAGGGTATATTTGCACCTAGAAACTGTCTCTTATCATTCCAAGTTCATTCTTAAAAGTAATGTGACATTTCTACCTTGTGAACTGTGACTCTCTGCATTTCTGTTTCAGCACTTCAAATACCTCACTCTTTAATAAGGGCTTCTGATAAATCGTTTTGATACTGTGAGACAACTCTGCCTCATCTTTCTGAACACACTTTCCAATTCTAATCCATAAATCTTTCCCTCATCCACAAATTTTAACCTATTTTTGTGATTAAAGAAAATCTCCAAGCAGGGATTTAGCATTTTTCTTTTAAGAAATGCCTTCTAAGAGATCTTCTAAGAGATCTTCTAAGAGATCTTCTAAGAGATCTTCTAAGAGATCTTCTAAGAGATCTTCTTTAAGAGATCTTTTTTAAGAGATCTTTTAAGAAATCCCTAAGTTTGTAATAATTTAAAGACAGAATTAATTTGTGTCTGCACTGGCACATCCTTACAGCTGCAATTCACAAGGACTGCCAAATCTTTATCTACTTTGATCATATATAGTTTATAAAAAAGGCTAAATTGGGAAATTGTTCAAAAAAATACTCAGATTTTATCATATTGCCATAAACACCCACAACCCCTCCTGCAATGGACCCATTCTACAAGTGTGAAAGAGAGAGGTTTTGAAACTTGGTTGAAGTTATACAGACCACAGTTTATTTTAAAACCACATAAGCAAAAAAATCACAGGCAGAAAATACAAAAGCATTCCAGAGCAGCTTGTCATATTAAGATCATATTACTAAATCCATAATACCATCAAAATGTGATACTACATAAGCCATGGTGGGTTTAAATGTTGCAGTAAGTATAAAAAACTGTGGAAAATCTACTTGCCATTAATCAGTAGTTACAAATGTGTTGTAAAAGGAAGTCCATACATCACACTTATTTGTTTCAAGCACTTTTCATACTGATTATTCAGTTTCACAGATTCCTGTACAGCATGCTTTAGATCTTCTACCTCTTCAAAAAAATCCTAGAAAGACCCAAAAATAGGCACTTTAAAGTTTCTCTGAAAGGCATTCTCAGTAACAGCTACTCAGCATTTCAGTTGTTCCCAAGTTCAAAGACACTTTCTGTATCTTTATTAATATATGGTTGAGTTGTGCAAACACAGCTATGACAAGACACAGCAATCAACTCTGACCTTACATAATAATTTCAAACTTTGCCCTGAACACATGATACAAGCAGAATTCAAGTTATTTTAGAAATACAGCCAAATAATAGGAAAGATTAATTAAGAGAACAAAAAACATGCTATTTTATCAGAAAGCTACAAAATGGCAGTCCAAATGACAGTCCAAAATGACAAAGGAATCGTGTCTAACTCGTCTGTGCAAAACTATAGCTACATGTGCTGAAGTCAGCCAGTAGCAGGTAACACAATAGTAACTCTGAAGATCTGAAAGTTGCAAGATTATACAAAAGGGGCAACAAGCAAGGAGAGTGATGAGGCGATTAAACTAACGATGAGGATGTTAGCATCTGAAGAAGACAGTACTAAGTAGTTTTAAGATTTAAAAATGGATACCATATTTAGACTTAGAAAGATAGAAAGTATTTTTAAACCTTAATTGCTTTGTAACTTGCTAGTATTCATTTAGAACTTGAAGTACAACTACACTTTGTTAATGAATACCTTATTTCAGAATAGGATCTGTTATTTATGGTTACACTATGTGAAAAAGTTTGATTTACATAATCAAAAGGGTAAGATTGATGATGCATTAAACAGCCTAAAATTGATAACACTATCCAACAGGTTCAACGGGCTCAGACAAAAACAATTTACAACAAAGGAGGGAATGAAAAAGAGCAGTATATAAGGGTACACAGACTATAAAGAGACAGTCCAGTAAGCCATAAAAATCCAAATCCTGTTGAACTTCACGTCAGCCTACGTGGTCTCACTTTCTCATATTGTTCCTTTTCAAAGCACTCCCCTCTGCCCTCCTTAAGCTTACAGTTTTAACAGAGACATAACTTTGATATGTTTAAGTAATAAAATAGCTTTCCTCTCACCGACATCACGAAACAGGAGATCAGTCAAAAGTGATCATTCAAAAAATATTTTTATTATCTCTGCAAATGTCTGCTGTAAGGAATTAAGCCTATTACTAAGAGTTGTAATTTGAATGTTGTAAGGACCTGAGGCAACTGACCTCTAATGAAGGAAGCAAACACTACAAATAAATAAATAATTAAATACACACCTGTTTAAAACACAACAAAAACACACTATGAAAATACACACCTGTTTAAAACACAACAAAAACAAAAACATTACACTCTTCCTCTTGTTTCAAGGAGTCATTAATTTCCATTTCTTTCTCAGAATGTTATAAATTCATGCATTTTCTTGATAACAACATAGGTTCAACCTAAATATAAGTTTCAGTTCAGAAAGAAAGGTTTGGTTTGTTTAAAAAATTACCCATTCTTAAATTTGTCCCAAAATAAATTACCTTGTCTAATACAGCTAATTGATTTTTTAGTGCTCTCCTTTCTGTAGATAACTTCTCTTTTTCTTTCTTCAGCTTTTTAATCTCCTTCAACAATAGCTCTATATTCAAATAAAAAAATATAGACTTCAACCATTACAGTCAACCTCCCCCTCATATGAATCATATTACAGCTAAAGAGCTGCCTACATTTTGTATTAGAAAATTATGGTTCAGCTTTTTAAAGTACCTTCTTCAGAAAGTGATTTATCCTTAAGAATCGGCCCAACACGCTCCCAGGTACTATGAAGGGTAACAGGATCTGTCAGTTGGAAAATGTGAATCTGCCAGATTCTTAGAATGTGGCATTATTCTACTTTAAAAATCCACAAAACATACATCATGTGCCTCAATTACTTTTCCTGACTTATGAGAGGGTCACATTAGCTCTTGCTGACAGCACACTTCCTGAAAATTATGCCTACATTATACTGTCTCTTCTATCTCTTTTTTATGCTTTGAAGTAGAACAGAATTGCACCTTAACTTGTGGATTTACTTATGTGAGGAAGAACATGTTCAAACCAGCATTGTCTGGGTTTGTCCCAGATTTTAAGGCTAAAAACAGGTTCTTTTGTGTATGAGTGTCTGAAAACCAAAGAAGGGAACAGCAAACGTTATCACTAAGAGATCTGCATAGATACAGCTTACTAGAATAAATAACAAATAGTACTAAATAGAGCCATGCACTCCCACCCACAATTACACCAACATACCAATTTCAGAAAAAGAGAAAAGCAGCAAACACTTATTTTTATCACAAACAAATGCAGGGCTGGATCCGTAGAGAGGATATTAGTTATGAGATGCTACTTTTACACAGCAGGTTTTCAAAAAGGAAAAACATTTTAGATGTAGCTGGTTAAAGCAGAAGAAATCCCCTGGTGTGTGTGCCTCTCGATCAGAAGCAAAATGCATCTTTGACAGTCATAATGGAAGGAACATCATCAGAATTAAAAGTACCATTACCTAAACATTTACTGCAATAAGGTTCCTTCTTTTTAGAAATGTCCCTGGGAGATGTTACTTCTCCTTCTGGAGTTCGACTTCTTTTTCCAGAAACAGCACTAGCTTTCCAAGAAACCTTTTTATGTTCTAGTTGCTCAATTCTTTGCTTCTGCTCTCGAAGATTCTGCTCTAGCTCATCAATTTTGATCTGTCAAGAAACTAAATTTTTTTTAAAATGCATAGAACAAACACCGTTCAACTGAACACAACTGGAAACATTGCCCAGATGCAAACCTAGAGCTTTTAATTGCTGTCTTAAAACTACATTCATCCAAAGGGCCTGAAAGGAGGAAAAAAATACAGCAAGTAAAGCTTTGCATATACAAAAGCATTTTAAAAGAATCTGATGCTGAGCATATGCTTGCAAGGCAATATAAATGTACAGGCACAAAGATACTGAACCTTTCCACGGGATAAAGCGTACTTTTATGGCAGCGACTGCCAACTTCTAAGAAAAAGTACATGTAATCCAAATTACAATGAATATTAATTTACAAGCAAATAAACACATTGCAGGCTCCCCAGAGCAAATTAGACTGGTCAGCTGTAGTGCTCCATTAATGCCTAAAGAGGCAATACCTGCTTGAAGCTTCTTGAACCACTCTTAGCCATGCCACCCTAACTCTGCTCCAGTTATGATGCTAGTCTCTATGAAGCCAACAGATCTTGCTACCTAACAGAAGACTATTTGCCCTCATTTGGTTAGCTTAATGCTGGATTTCTAAGATAAATCAGTTTATGAAACACAGAAAAATATAAGGGCTGGTACAAAAGAGGTCAGAAGATACATATACAGTTAGAAGGGGTAGGTAGATAAGTAAAGAAAAAAGCAAGAAAAGGGGACACAGCTGTCAGCAACAGACCAGTGACAGAGTTCATGTTCAAAGGAAACTACAGACTACTTTCCGTTATCTCAATGACACAGGAAATAAAGAAAGATTATAAAGAAAAACATGGTCTCATTTTACAAATGTAAGAATCATTTTCCAGTCTCCCTAAAAGCTTAAGTTTGGCTTACTCAATACCATTTCCTACAAATTCTACTTACAGTGAGCTTGTTAATTGCTTCCCTCTGCTCCTGGTTTGTTTTGATTTCTTTAATGTAACGTTTCTGTAGCTCATTATACATTTGAAGCAGACTAAAACAGAAGAAATGTGTAAATTGCAATAAAATATAAAAGCCAATGAAAACGTGCATCCTTTATGACAAAAGCATTAGAGGGCCTATAGAAATTACTTTGATTGTAGCTGTACTGTAGCAGCTTGTAACAGAAATATTTAAGATGGGTGTGAATGAAATGCCATCAGCAACACAGAAAGCGAAAGCACCAGAAAAAAAGCCAGCAATGCAAGAGTTAGAAAGAATGGTCTGTATGATGGCAAAGAATCCCTTTCACTCAGCCACACTGAGGACCCTGTTGTTCCCATCCAGCCCACATGGCCACACTCTGATTAAACAGTACAAATAACTCGTCGATGGAAGACCTGTACACTAATGACAGGAGGGGTGGCAATGACTTTACAGCATGTCACATTGGTCATTCCTCTCCCTGTTAGCACAGCAGGAATAGCAAAAGACCACTCCTGAAGGAATAAAGCAGTTTGTCCAGAGCCTAATTTCTTGCTTAAACCACAACACCACCAATCAAGAGCTCATGATAAGGATTCATGAGGCAGCATCCCCAGCTCTCTGTGTTGCACAAAACATCTCACTGCTTCTGTGTGAGTGTGAGAATACGAGTGAAAGAAATGTATAAGAAAATGAGTGCGAGGGGGTAAAATCAATGGAAAATAAACAACTTCAGGGTATTATCTTTCCCTTTGATAATATATTGCATCAAGTTCTGCTACATTAATTTCCTACCACAGTTTACGGCATATATCAGGCCTGTAATGTAACTGATGAGCATGACATTTTCCCTGTTTTATGAGGAATTCAGGTAAGAGCTGGCATTCATACTAGGTCATGCCTACAAACCACAAGCAGGATGGTAATGCAGAATAGTACAGAACAGCTTTGTAAAATCACATACAAACAGGTGCTAGAAGAAAAAGCTAAGTCAGGTTATCCAAGTGCAACCTAATACAAAGCAGGTCCAGCACTAGATTCAAAGAGAAACTTGGATTTCTTCCACATAAGTATCTAGTTAGGCACTCAGTTCAAGCCTGGAGCTAAACACCCAGCCTTCCTATGTAGGTTTGCAAAGAGAGCCTGGCATACTGTAAAAAAATAAAAAAATAAAAAAAAAAGGGGGGGGAGGGGGAAGGGCCTTCTACAACCACCTAAAGTAAACCCTAAAAACAGGGTGCTTGAAATCAAAAGCAGTGGGGACTGCCTACTGCCTATCTTCTTGAGAGTCACAGCCCATTTCTTAAGTGGACACAAAGTAACTTTCTAAAGAATGGAGCAGCCTCTTTATTTCAAAATCAAGTCATAGTGAGATGGGCCAACATTTTACTTAGCATACCCAGCTGTTAAAATGTCTCAATATGTATTTTCTCAAAGCAAAAAAGTATCTTTTGCATCAAAAAAGCCATTAAGAAAGTTTATTTCTAGCACTAATTGGCAAACAATGGTAAGTAGTGGCTCACTTATGAAAATCAAGTAGACTGAAAACTAGAATCACTTATCTAGCTTATGTTGAAAACAGCACCATCCTATAGGTTTTATACATACATAAAACTGAGCTATAAAAACATGAGCTAAGAAATCACCAACAAAATACAGAAAGAAATTACTAGGTTAAAAATCTGCAAAAAAGATCACATGTGCACGCACACACACTACAGAGCTTCCTTGGCTCATTCAAATTTTTTAAATGAAGGATTTGAGAAAGAAATACATTTTGTTCTTTGCTTACTCCTAGTTTCAAGTTTAATCTAAGATTTATTACTTCCTTTTAAAATGCAAATAAAACAATCTTCTGTTGTTTCAAAGGCTGAAAGCCGCTTCCATAACAGTTAACAAAAATTCAGTTGACAACCATGAAAATATTCTACCCTATGGAGAATATTTACCTCTGTGAAGAAGCAGTTTTCCAATAACTCACCTGACACTGTCACCCTCTAGAATAAGATCCTTCCTGTATTCACCCTTGTGCCACAAATGGGTTTCTGTTTGAACTTGAACACTTAATTGAAATAAACAAAACAGCTTAATAAAAATCACATTTTATAATTTTAATTGGATCAAACAAAGCAACTGAAAAAGCCTAAGTTACTTTTCAGCTTGATTTTAGAACACAAGTTTTAACACAGAACCACAATTACACCAAAATTTAAACTTGAAAGCTGTGCAAACAGGTACTCAAATCCTGGGAGGACACTCACCAACACACTAGCACTATAGTTTTTCAAGTCCTAAGCTCCTGGTTTCCAAATCTTTTAAACAGTATTGATGCACTTTACCTATCGTACTACTGTTTGGTATAAAAACGATTTAAAACTCTGGAGTAAAACAGAGATAGCATGTTGGCTAAGCAGGGATATAACTTACTGACATTAAAACTGTTTCTTTCACTAAAACAACAAACTTTTACAAGTTCTCCCAGTCATTCTTTGCTCCTTTACATGCCTCCAGCATCCTCTATTTCCACCATCCTGTTCACAGACAGCCCCTCAGAATACACAGGCCAGGTGTGGCCTCATTCATCTGAAGAGTACCAAGATGAAAAATCCTGAAACACTTCTTTCTTTTGATACAGAAAGAACAATTCTTACTCTCTGTGTGTGCCACAGTCATGTATTAACCGCTGTAGATGCAGTTTTTCTTGGATCTGACCCAGATTCTTTTCTAGCTCCTTATTTTTTACATGCAGTTTTTTCAACTTCTTGACTAACTCTTCATTTTCATCACTGAGCTGAAAAGGAAGAGAATTTTAAAAAGAAAAATAAGACATTTTCTGATGAGGTATTAATTAAGCTGGTAATATTTCATTAAAATTATCTCCCTTAAGCTTCATTATGATTAACTTAACTGTAGAACTATATAAAGGAAAATAGCATAAAAAGTAATTGGCTTTAAACGTCAGGAAGAACTGAGACACAGCTGCTTTAACATATGTATTAAATGCTTCTAATGCAACTTCGCAATTTATTAGTGAATGATAAGGCTAACTGGTTTTGTACTAAAAAAAAAAATCATACACAAAACTTACAAATTTCAATTACATTTCTAAACATCATCTCTTTTTAATCTCACAGAAGCCAAAAGACTGAGCCACAGCTGCACTACCAGAATTTCTTGCCTACACAGTGGTTGAACCTCGTCCAGCAGCACCTGTCACTTCATCTACGACCCAAACACAACGGACTTCACTGCCCTAACCTACAGCGTAACAAGTACAACCGATGCTAACGACCGGTACTCGGCCAACAGAAGGAAGGCTACCAACGACAAACCGCTTAAGCTACTGTAAGCGTGAGCTCTGCACGCGAAGGTAACAGCAAACA